CACCTGGACTGGTCTCCAGTCCATCACAGGCAGTCCATCACAGGTACACCTGGACTGGTCTCCAGTCCATCACAGGTACACCTGGACTGGTCTCCAGTCCATCACAGGTACACCTGGACTGGTCTCCAGTCCATCACAGGGACACCTGGACTGGTCTCCAGTCCATCACAGGGACACCTGGACTGGTCTCCAGTCCATCAAAGGGACACCTGGACTGGTCTCCAGTCCATCACAGGGACGCCTGGACTGGTCTCCAGTCCACCACAGGGACAGAAAGGCTACACTTACATATAGGCAGGGTTCAACAAATCCTACTGCCACACTGCCCGGGGCAGGTAAAACCCACTGTCGGGCAGGTGGGTGTGTCCCAATGTCTGCCTGACCGGGCAGGTAAACTATTTATTTTATTTTTTATAGGTCATTTATTCAGAATCATCTGAAAATAAATGAAGAAATATGTTGTTTTAAAACACGTGAAGAAAGAATAAATCATCAAAATGTCCTCCTCCTTCCTGCTGCACGTCTCACAGAGAGCAGCTTTAACAACCGTAGTTTGTTTAACAACCGTAGTTTGGTTAACAACCATCGTTTAACAACCGTAGTTTGTTTAACAACCGTAGTTTGTTTAACAACCGTAGTTTGGTTAACAACCATCGTTTAACAACCGTAGTTTGTTTAACAACTGTAGTTTGTTTAACAACCGTAGTTTGGTTAACAACCGAAGTTTGGTTAACAACCATCGTTTAACAACCGTAGTTTGTTTAACAACTGTAGTTTGTTTAACAACCGAAGTTTGTTTAACAACCGTAGTTTGGTTAACAACCATCGTTTAACAACCGTAGTTTGTTTAACAACTGTAGTTTGTTTCACAAGCGTAGTTTGTTTAACAACAGTAATTTGTTTAACAACCGAAGTTTGTTTAACAACCGAAGTTTGTTTAACAATTGTAGTTTGTTTCACACCCGCAGTTTAACAACAGTAGTTTGTTTAACAACCGTAGCTTAACAACCATAGTTTGTTTAACAACCGTAGTTTAACAACCGTAGTTTGTTTAACAACAGTAGTTTGTTTAACAACTGTAGTTTGTTTAACCATAGTTTGTTTAACAACTGTAGTTTGTTCAACTGTAGTTTGTGTAACAACCGTAGTTTGTTTAACAACCATATTTTGTTTAACAACCGTAGTTTGTTTCACACCCGTAGTTTGTTTAACAACCATAGTTTGTTTATCAACTGTAGTTTGTTTAACAACCGTCGTTTGTTTAACAACCGTAGTTTGTTTCACACCTGTGTTTTCAGAGGAAAAACATGTTTTTTTTATGTATTATTACACACAGAGATGATAAAAATATGTGTTTTATGTATTATTACACACAGAGATGATAAAAATATGTGTTTTATGTACTATTACACACAGAGATGATAAAAATATGTGTTTTATGTACTGTTACCCACAGAGATGATAAAAATATGTTTTTAATGTACTGTTACCCACAGAGATGATAAAAATATGTTTTTAATGTACTGTTACCCACAGAGA